ATCCTAAGAATCTCCTTAATAGTAGCAAGTGACGGCCAACTTGAAATAGCTTGGATTTTAGAGTGATCCATAGCCACTCCGGCAGCTGAGATTGTGTACCCTGACTAGTTGACATATAACTACACAAAGACACGTTTCGATACTTTTACATTTGGGATTTTATAACAATGGTTCTTGAAATTGACCACCACATCAAAATAGTCTCTGAAATTGAAAATCGATTAATGTAGTCTCTGAAAACGGGTGTCGCAAATTAATGTGGTTATTCTGTCACAATTTTGTCAAAAATTCTGTTATGTGCTAATATGACACATAACTGAGTCCCATAAGTCTAATTAAATAATACCACGTGGATTAAAAATTATTTAAATAATAAAAAACTTTTTATTTTTATATTAAAAACTTAAAAAAATAAAAAAAGAATATAAAGAAGCAAGCCCTTTATGGGATCCCCATTTTTTTTTCAAAAAATGGGGATTAGGTGTAGGGCTCACTCCAAATCGAACTTCCAAATATCTAAACCATCTATTTTGTAAGTCTCAATTCATAGATCATCCTTGCAAAAATTCAATTCAATCTGAAACCATTTGCCTATTTAATTATCAAGATAAAATTTCATTGTTTCTTATATAACAAAAGTATTCGTTAATTTCTTTGAACCCAATTAGATGTCTTAAACATCACCACCTCCATCCTGACTCGTCTAGTCAACTCCAAGCCCAACCGCATGCCTTTCCCCAGCCTACACCTCTTGGTTCCATAATCGTACAATTGACATGATCGCCCGCTAGGATCCTATAACTCCACGCCCACCACTACTTGGAGGCTATCCATCACCCCTTTCGATTTCCTCCACCATTTCCTTTCCAACCTACCCTCTTTGATTTCCTCTGAAGGTGCAGGCAATGGAGTGTGTAACAACCCGTTTTAAAATTAATATGTAAAATTACAAAAATACCCCTAATGACGAAAACGTTGACATTGGTTTGTTAACATGTTGGAATTTTGCTTTTATTTTATTTCCATAGCACTAGTCGATATGAATGCATAGGTGCGAACGAAATCGAATTTGGAGTTAAAACCAAGGGCATTTTGGTAATTTCACAATTGGATATATTGCTCCACTTTAGGCCTCTATTTGGCAGACATATGGCGAGTCCCCCATTTCTGGGGTGCATTTTTCTCCCCGTGACTTCTTTATCTTTCTCTCTAGAACTCTTCCTCCTTATCTCTCTTTCACCTTTCACCTCAAGCTCTCTCCGAGAACCACCGAGGCACCACCGGCCTCCTTACTTCAACGACCACCACGACAAGGCTTCCACCACACTTTCCATCATGCCAGAGCTGATCACCACTTTTTAACAACCACTTATCCTCGACTAGGCACTCATCTCTCTCTCTTTCTTTCTCGGCACTGTAGCACAGTCACTATGCTTGGGATTTTCCGGCAAGTCCTCGCCGTCCCCAACGAAGGTAAGTTTAAAAACCACTCTAAATCTTTATAGATTGTGTTTAGAACTACGATTAGGTAGTTTTTGAGACAATTTGGTAGTGTTTGGACGTAGAAACCACTTGGGAGAACCTTCCTCAGTTTTCTAGCAAGGATCATGACTTATGCAGGCATTTTTTGCCCAACTCTGGCCACCACTTGGCCTCTTTTTGGTACGAATCTATTCCTCTCATTCCCAGCTTCATTTCCATAGGTAGAACATCATTTTTTTTTTTTGAGAAATGAGCTTGATCGGAGCTCTCCAAGCTCCAGCTTTCTTCTGCATGGAGTCCGACCAACCCACGATCTGAAATTGGGTCAAACCCGACCCACAACCAAAACTAGGCCCAAACCTTGGGGTCATGTAACCCAGTCCAATAAGTCGACCCATTAACCTAGTAACCTAGGCACAACCCATTAACCTTAACCCAACTCTGACTTAGGTCTTACTCGACCTGAACCCAGTCTCAGTTTCCATGGTTAACGCGTGGGTTCGCGTCATGGTCGGCGTGTGGAGCACACACACCTCCGTCGGAGGTATTGTGCTCCGATGCCGTCCACGGCAGCCACCCAACTCAATGCGTGCGGTGACGCGTGGCCTTCTGGGCTGCAACCCCGTGGTGGCTCGTGGGGGAACCTGAGGTTTTTCCTTATGTTTTTCAACGTGCCGAATCTGAATCTATTGTCCGTTTTCCCAAATTCTATCATTTTAGTAGAGTTTTATTAAATGGTTTTTATTTGTGTTTAGGTGCATCGATTGAAAATGATCCAATCGTCCCTAGTTCGAGTGGTTCTCCAGTAACGGAATACTTATGAGTGAACCCCTTCTTAAATTGCATGTTTTTATAAAACATTAGGCTTGCATGCATTTTATATTTCATGAATTGATTACTTTTTATGATATGATTTACAGATTTTTAGATTTATGCTTTATGAAGAATTTATGATTTATTAAAATTGCTTTTATGCAATATTTATGATACATCGAATTTACGTTTTACGAAAGGTTATGAATTATTGGATTTTCATAAATGAAATTTTCTGGATTTACGAATATGATCTATTATGGATTTATGAGATGAGGCTTTGAGCTTTTGAGCTCCAGTGATTTGATATGAGATTTTGAGATATGTTTTTTATGCTTATCTAGTGGGTTATCATACAACACATCCACACAACACGAGTATGTAGATGTCTATGGCCATAGGACATAGTAAAGTATATTTACACTATACCCCCAGCTTCACTGGCGAAACCAATGTTGGACAGCTTCACTGGCCACTGGTAGTGTCGGTGTGTGATGTTATATGTTTCTTCTCTGGCGTAACCCAAAGTCATACAATTTCATCTTCAGGTGATGGGGCCTACCATGTTTCTTCACTGGCGTAACCCAGTGTCGTACAGCTTTACATTTGGGTGATGGACAACTACTGCCTTGGGGCGTCTATGATACCCCTAGTTGAGTACAACATTGATGTGATTTACAGAGGTTTTATGGATTTGCCTTTGGGCGACGATATTACCATTGTTTTGATTTATGAGATTCTTAGGTTTTGCCTTCGAGCGTTTCGATGCCACTTTTAGAGATTGTTTTATTGCTACGAATATTTTTGGCAGATTAGAGTAAACCTACTATGTAGTATATATAGATGTGTTTTCAAAACAAGGGGTTAGTATGTTAAAAAAGAAATCAGTTTTCGTATTATTAGTATTATTATAAACTTTGGTCCACTCACCTTTTGTTTTTGCACCCCTCTCAGGACATAGTGACGAGGAGTACGACCCGAGTATCGAGGCATTTCCTTACCAGTGATTTTGCATTCTTCCACTTGCGTATGGCTTCTTTTATGAATAATTGTAACTTGATGTCTTACTTTTCACTAGTACTTCCGTTTTGTGGTATGCTTTGGACATATTCGTATCTCTTTTATTTTGAAATTATGGTCGTTGAATATTTTGTTTCATCAATGTTTAATTTGGATTATTATTATCGCCTCTTAGTGTTTGTATACTCCTTGTGATTTTTGTCTGTTGCATGATTTTTGGATTACTTGTTCCTTCATGTTGTTGCAGATTCATACATTCATGGCTTTCGTCACTCTCAAGTGGCGGCTAGCACGTGCCATCCAGGTGTTATTTGGATATTTGGGTTGGGGTGTGTCTGTTTGGTATCAGAGCTTTGTTGATTCATTTTTATTGATTTTGTCTTATTGACTTGTCTTATTGACCTGATTTTGTTGGTTTCGCTTTATTGTTTTACTATTGTTGGTCCAGAGCATACTTAGGATTTCATCCTACTCTCTTTATTGTTATTTCCTTCCATTGATTGTTATTTCTATCCATTAACTGTTATTTCCTTCCGTTGTTGATTGTGAAATATTTATTTCCTTCCATTCTTGATTGTGAAATATTTTGTTATGCTAAACTTCATTTTTGGTTGTTTCTTAGAAGCATGAACACTCGTGGCTGGAATGTGCCTCATGGCAATAATGTACCTCGTCACCCACGTGCTAGTGTTTTAGGTGGGTTTCAACAACTGCCTGTTGCTCTGCGACATGCGTTTACTAGGAACAACAGGCAGAGCCGCACTTATGTAGAGATTGCCCAGAGTCACTTATTTAAATATTGTGGGTGCTTGTGAGGAAGCCAAGGACTGGCTTGAAAAAGTCGAATATGTTTTTTATGTTGTGCATTGTCCTGATGAGGAGCAGGCGAAAACAACTGGACACTTTCTTAGGGGTGGTGCTAAGACTTGGTGAGACTTTATTAAGCGATCTCGGCCATCTAATCTACCAATGACATGAAAGGCTTTTCGGGAACTATTTTCAAACTATTTTCTCAATCCCCAATATAAAGCCAGCAAGAGACAAGAATTTTATGATCTTCACTAGGGTAATTTGTCGGTGACAAAGCTCGATTGTAATTTCAGGCATTTGGCGAAACATATCCCCTAAGTCTATGGGAACTCGCGGGAGATGATGAATAAACTTAATGTTGCTATATCTGATAAGATCCGCTCTTATATGTTAGTAATGCAGTATGACTTTTACAAAAGTATGTTCCATGCTGCTTTAAGAGTGGAACGATCATTCTTAACTTCCAGTAATCGAAATCAGCCTCGAAGTCAGTCTTCTCAAGGTCGAGGGTTCTGATTGCGGAGTACTAGATAACGTTCTTCATCTTCTAATATCGGCCCAAGACACTTCTTATCATTCAATCGTTGTGGATAAGGGTTAGGATCTTCTAGTGAAGGGTCAAGTATTAAGCCAGCAAAGCAGTCTTTAGTCACTTTCCACCCATTATTCCGATATGTATGTGTTGTGGCAGACGTCATTGGAGAAATTGTGCTACCGGGGCTGATTCATGCTTTAGATGTGGAGGCACGAGACACTATGCTTGTGACTACCCTACTGGTCGACCTATCAAGAGCGTTGCGTCTGGTTCAGGCTATGATAGAGGCAGCAACTTAGACACTCAGAATCAGAGCCAGGGACATTAGCATAGTTCAGGGATGGCTTCTTGCAGCAGTACTCAGAGTAACCACTCAGGTCGTGGTAATCGGGGTGTTCGTACATGTGGAGGTAGGGGCAACAGTTCAAGACAGCAGGTTACTGGTATGTTATTCGCCTTTGATCATTGGGTGCATGTTTTAATTGATCTGGGGGCAACATTTTCATTTATATCCTCACAGTTAGCACGGGCCGTGAACTCACAACCTTCTGAGATTGGTTTTAATAAGCTTATACAGTTACTTCATGGAGAAATATTTTATGCTCAGTCAGAGTTAAGAAATTGTCCAGTCTACTTAGAAGGTGTACTTAAGAAGGCAACTCTGGTTCCCTTTAATTTGGTAGAGTTCAATCTTATTCTAGGGATGAACTGGCTATCCAATCATGATGTGAATGTAAGTTGTAGGAGTAAATTGGTGACTTTTTCTCAACCTGGACAACCTAATGTTGTGTTTCAGGGAGAGCTAAGAATTCTTCCAAATAGTATTATTTTTGCCCCCAAGGTGATGAAATCGCTACATAAATGTTGTGAATGATTCTTGGCTTATGTAGTTGCACCAGGCGAACCTTTATTAATGTTGATGATGTGCCGATTGTAAATGAGTTCACCAATGTGTTTCTTGACGATCTACCTGGAATGCCACATGCATGAGAAATTGAATTAACCATTAACGTATTCTCAGGTACTAATCTTATTTCCTTGACACATTATCGTATGACACCAGTTGAGTTAAGAGAGTTAAAGATTTAGTTGTAAGAACTTCTCGATAAAGGTTTTATTCAACCTAGTATGTCTTTCTGAGGTGCCTTTATCTTATTTGTAAAAAAGAATGATGGATCGATGAAACTTTGTGTTGATTATCAACAGCTCAACCAGGTGACCATAAATAACCGTTATCCATTGCCTCGTATTGACGACCTGTTTGACCAGTTAAGGGGTACCTGTGTATTCTCCAAGATTGATCTTCGTTCGAGCTATCATCAACTACTGATTCGGAGGAAAGATGTTTCGAATATTACTTTTCATTCTCGATATGGGGATTACGAGTTCTGAGTTATGCCATTTGGCTTGACGAATGCACCTACAACCTTCATGAATTTGATGAATAGAGTGTTCAGACCTTACATTGACCGATTTGTGATTGTATTTGTTGATGCACAAAATCGGAGGTCTTGGAACAACGTAAATCCGACCGTGAATCTACAAGAAATGTAAATAACACAAGATGTATAGTGGTTCACCCCAAGGTTTGGGCTACGTCCACACTGATTATGTATTTATCTGAGAAGTGAGGGAGAGAGATTCAGAGCCTCTGAAGGACAAAGTTTCTGAGGGTGAGAGGGCCTAGGAATTGGCCTCCCCTAATTGTGAGGGTGAGGAATCCTTTTATAGAATAAGGGCTTCTCACTTATTACATATTTGCCCCTTCCTTTATCACATAATTACATTTAAGTGCCCCGAGTATTTGTACGAGATCTAAATACGAGGCCCTAAATATGGTATAAACAGTAGTCCCTTAAATCTTCAGTCAAGAGTCTTTTGGCTGGAGACTTGAAATTCGGTCCATGTGTGGGCTGAAGTAACTAGATGTCGTTTAGAACCGATGCTCGATATGAGGCGATGCCCAATCTGAAATGATGCTCAACTAGAAGTAGCACATGTTGTGAGGCTGCTCGGCTTGTGGCTTATGTTGCCTTGGTTGGCTCGGCTTGTGGCGTTGAAGGTGAGAGAGTCCCTTTTATAGAATAAGGGCTCGCTTCTCAATACATAAATGATGGGCTATAGTTGATGCTCGCGGCAAGGCGGTTGCTCAATAGGCGGCGATGCTCTCTAATGGTGGTGAGGGAGTCCCTTTTATAGAATAAGGGCTCGCTCCTCAATACATAAGTGATGGGCTAAGTCCCCCAAGTATTTTTTATTAGGCCTAGTTGAGGCCCAATATATGGTATAATGTAGTCCTCCAAGTCTTCAGTCAATAGAGTCTGTTGGCTGTAGACTTCAAATTGAATCCATGTATGGGTCGAAGTGGCGGTTATTCGAAGGCGGTATTTGTATACCATGCACTGAAGCTTTGTAGGTGAAGCTTTGCAAGTGAAGCTTTGAAGCTAGAGCTCTGTAAATGAAGCTTTCGAAGTTGGAGCTTTTATAAATGAAGCTTTTGAAGCTAGAGCTTTGTAAATGAAGCTTTTGAAGCTAGAGCTCTATAAATGAAGCTTTTGAAGCTGATTGACATGAGTGATGCTTATGAATGTTTATGTTGATTGCCATGAGTGATGCTCATGGATGTTGTCATAAGTGATGCTCATGGATGTTGTCATGAGTGATGCTCATGAATGTTAACATAAGTGATGCTCATGAATGTTGACATGAATGATGGTCATGAATGTTGATGTATGATTGTCATGTGTGATGCTTATGAATGTTTATGTATGAATGATGTTTATACCATATTTAGGGCCTCGTATTTAGACCTCGTATAAATACTCGGGGGACTTAAATGTAATTACGTAATAAAGGAATGGGCAAATATGTAATTAGGGAAGGAGCTCTTTTCTATAAAAGGGCCTCCTCACCCTCACAAACCCTAAGTCTCTCCTATCTAGAGCAAAGCTCTCACACTCTCTCCCTCACAAATACTCTCAAATAAATATAATCAATGTGGATGTAGCCTAAACCTTGGGGTGAACCACGATACATCCTGTGTTATTTACATTACTTGCAGATTCACAGTCGGATTTACGTTGTTCCAAGACCTCAGGTTTTGTGCATCAACATTTGGCGTCGTCTGTGGGAAACGACATGAAAAGTTATGTTGGTTTTCTCTTAATTTTTCACCTCCGCAGTGAATCTGCGCTAGCTTTCATTTTCTGATTTCTATCAGGACCAAGAGAGAGAAGAAAAATAATGTGTGGGTCTCAGCCACACACCACCTCAACGCTCATCTCTTCTCTTCTCTACTTTGCGTCTCGGCGGCAGGTACGTTGGCTCCTCCACTCGGTGATGAGTATCACTCTTCCAACAGCAGATCTGGACAAGACTTTTATTGATCCCTAGTTCCACCCTTCAGCATGAAATCAGGACCAAAGGACAGCTGGCACTCTATTATGCCTCTTTGTTTGAAAGGCAAAGCAGGAGCACATTTTTGCATGTTTCCAAAGTCTTTATTTACAACTTCCACATGTCCATTTCTGTCAGCAACTTCTACTTTCAAGCAGCTTATTTAATCTTGCAATGCCATCTTGCGGACAACGTGCAGCCTTTCCATTTCCATCTTATCCGTTTCATATTGCCTTATTTCGTCTTCCAAACTCTTGCTTTTGAAGCTCAATTCTTCAACTCTTGTGTCGAAAAGGATTTGTTTGACTAAAAAAACTTGAAATATCAGCTTGCAGGTTTGCTTTCTCAAGAGATAATTGTTCCTGTAAATCATGCGATGCACTCTTCAGCTGCATCACCTCAAGATCACGACCAATTATATCAGCATTGTACCTCACTATCTTCTCCTCCAGCTCCGAAACATGTTTTCTCTCTAAGTTAAGTTGGGCTTCCAGACCTTGCATTTGATGAGCACCTTCGGAAATTCTATGGCTCAAACACCTGTATTTTCTCCATTTTAAGATCAGCCTCCCTCATTTAGAGCTTCTCTCTCACGCTAGAAAGTTCGATTTCAAGCTCAGTAATCTTTTGCTGCCATCCCTGGCTGTCAAAATCATCGTTCGAAGGTAGAACCAAGTAATTGCTGACGGATGAGTTAAAAGATTCTGACTCGGATCCTAATAATGATGAGGACATCGTTCAACCCCCGATCCCCCTACGTCATTTCAAAATACGCGGTGCATTGGTACACCTTGAACTACCGCGAGGCATACAGGATGTTCGCATGCAACGAGATTCTATTCAACACAAGTCGCCGTGGCGGGGGGAGAATTTCGTGACCCGGAAGATCACCTGGGCCGTGGGTCGGATCAATGAGGGATTGTAGAGCAAGCTGGTTTTAGGGAATCTGCAAGCGTCGAGGGACTGGGGTTTTACCGACATCATCATCATCAAAATTGAGAAAAACATAAAAGAAAATGGCTGGGTAAAGTGCTTTGGTTCAAAATTTCAGGATCATGCGGAGAGTTTCAGCTTTTCTGTCTCTTTTGTCTCTCCATGGGTCTAAAGGCAGTGGGAACAGAATAGAAAAAAAGAAAAGAAAAAGAGACTGAGAGAGAGAGATGGAGGAGGACCAGGAGAGAGAAATCGGAGAGAAGATAAAGATTGGAGTTTGTGTGGTGGAAAAGCAGTAAAGGTAAAACAGGTTTTCTTTAAAACACATAGCTGGAAAGTGGTCCCGCGACCACGATGATAAAGGAATTCAGACATCTAATGATGCCAAGTTGTTGCCATCCCACTACAAGGTCCCAGCATCTCCTTGTGTCAGTGCCTTGGGACGTTGGATTGACAAGACACTGAGCACCATTATTCCTAAAAAGGGCGGTCCTCCAAGAAAGCGAAAGCAAAAGACAAAGCAAAAGAGAAAGCAAAAGCAAGGAATAAACACCACACCAGAATGATGTGATTTACTTTTTTGACAGATGTATGATGTAATTTATTTTCTTATCTCTCGGAGACATCTGTATAAACCCCATCAGAGGGTAATAAAAAATAAATAAAATAAATAAAAAAAACGGCAAGCCCAAAATAAATGGGCTGGAATGTTGTGTGGAGGGCGAAGGCCCATAAGCCCAAAATAGCACTAACCAGGTGACCAAAAGTACGCCCAATACTCCACAATTATTTAGGCAACCTGCCTCTATTATCACTAACCAGGTGACCAAAAGTACGCCCAGTACTCCAAAATCATTTGGCAACTAGCCATTCATGCCACCAACCAGGTGATGAAATGTACAACCCGTACTCTAATATCATTTGGCAACTAGCCATTCATGCCACCAACCAGGTGATGAAATGTACAACCTGTACTCTCCTTCATGCCACCAACCAGGTGATCAAAAGTACGCCCAGTACTTTAAATTATACATGAGCATTACTCATGTCAATCATACGTAAACATTCATAAGCATCACTCATATCAATCATACATAAACATTCATGAGCATCACTCATGTCAATCAACATAAACATTCATGAGCATTACTCATGTCAATCAGCTTCAAAAGCTTCATTTACAAAAACTCTAGCTTCTAAAGCTTCATTTACAGAGCTTCACCTACAAAGCTTCACTTGTAAAGCTTCACCTACAAAGCTTCAGTGCAGGGTATACAAATACCGCCTCCGAACAACCGCCACTTTGGCCCATACATGGATCCAATTTGAAGTCTCCAACCAACAGACTCTATTGACCGAACACTTGGGGGACTACATTATGTACCATATATTGGGCCTCATGAAAAATACTTGGGGGACTTAGCCCATTACTTATGTATTGAGGAGCGAGCCCTTATTCTATAAAAGAGACTCCCTCACTTTCACTAGAGAGCACCCATTGTTCATGTACTGAGGAGCGAGCCCTTATTTTATAAAAGGGACTCCCTCACCACCATTAGAAAGCATCGTCGCCTACTGAGCAACCGCCTCGCCGCGAGCATCAACTCTAGCCCATCATTTATGTATTAAGGAACGAGCCCTTATTCTATAAAATGGACTCCCTCACCATCATTAGAGAGCATCAACTCTAGCCCATCATTCATGTATTGAGGAGCGAGCCCTTATTCTATAAAAGGGACTCCCTCACCTTCAAACGTCGCAAGCCGAGCCAACCAAGGCAATATAAGCCACGAGCTGAGCAGTCTTGCAGCGTGTGCTACTTCTAGTTGAGCGTCATTTCAGATTGAGCATTGCCTCATATCGAGCATCAGTTCAAGACAGCATCTAGTTACTTCGGCCCACACATAGACTGAATTTCAAGTCTCCAGCCAAAAGACTCTATTGACTGAAGACTTAGGGTGGAGGACTACTGTTTATACCATATTTAGAGCCTCGTATAAATACTTGGGGGACTTAAATGTAATTACGTAATAAAGGAAGGGGCAAATATGTAATTAGGGAAG